GAGTCACTTTTATGCAGTAAGTTAACTTTATTAAATAGATAAAGTAAGCAAACCCACCTCAAGGCCCACAGGGAAAGCCAACTGGGCTTCAGTGTTACACTGAGAGCAGTAGCAGGACCAATTATTTCCTTTTATTTTGTTTATGAATCCATATAAGGCTGAATCCAGGGCTATTAAATTGTTTATGGCTAATCATGTGGTTCTATCAGTAGCTACATCCTCCTGAAATTAGTGTATTGTATTATGGGATGCAGTATATCATGGAGATAGCTCTGGTTGTGTACTGGAATATTTGGCCAGAGTAGTACATCATACAGGTTTCTTTGGCATACTGAGGAAATTCATGTTGGTCATGTACTGCATACTAATGTCTACCATCAGTAAGTGAGCATTATGTAGTAGGCTATTTCGAACACAGCCATTATAAAGGAGGAGGAGACATTTAACTGGTTGAAAAATTAATGGGAAAGCTTGTAACCTTCAACATGGTATCTGTTTATGGGGAAAGTCATCAAAAGAGCCAGTCGGCTTGCTGGTAAAGCTGCAAGCAGGAAAAGACCTCTATCGTTATGGGGTTATGCTAGGGTTGCCATCTAAGCCTGGACACTCAATCAGTGGCTTGATTTATGACTAAATTCAATGTACAAGTAGCCGTTCTCACAATACAGTGTAAGGTAGGTAGATGTCAGCTCAGCTACAGAACATAATCTTCTCAGTTATTGTGTTGAAGTGCTGCCTGTTGCCTATCACCAGCAGTACGCCCTTCCCAAACTATTGTCAGTATATTCAGGGTAATCTGAATTAACCTGTAATTGTTATACAAATGGCTTGATTGGATAAAAAGCAGTTTAAATTTCATTAGGAATGCCTACATATGAAAATACTTGGAATCCTGGACAGGCAACCAAAAACCTATACAACCCAACGAAATCCTGGATGGCTGGCAGCCCTAGGATATGTACATATGCAGTAGCCAGAACAATCTGACAAACGTCCAAACCTCAAAAGTCAGAGGTGTGATTAATCACAAAGCAGTACAGATCCTATCGCCAGCATAAAATAATTAAACACAAAATAAATTAGTAACTAAATGTGAAAGGCTAAAATAAAAATGAGAAAACAGTGGATTATTAATTTCTTTTTTTACATATACTTGAGTATAAGTAAAATGTATCATTATTTGAGTACATGTAACTGAGCATCTCTTTTTGGCGCCTTTATTTTAGGAGTGTAATACAGGCTGATGTAACACTCTTTGATGCCATTTCTCCATAAATAAATGACCTGAAACACTTTTATAATAATCGAAGGCCTGCTTTACACAGTAGGCAATTATTGATTGATTGTGCTGCAGGCCAGAGATTACTTGCAAACTTCAATGTCTGAATCTTTCGACCGCAAAATGTTGTACATTACTCGTGTTAGGCTGTGGACTAAGCCCTCACTACATTAAGTGAAGATCACTACCTCAATTTCAGGGGTCAAAAGATCTGTTTTTCCTGAAAGAAGGTACAGAGAAGGGTCAGGGGTGAAATGACTTCGGCAGCTGCTCATTAGTGACTGGTAAGAGTTGGCTGGCTGAACCTACTCTCATTATTTCACCCATGAAAAGGAAATTCTGTGCTTTTTGACTTATTACAGAGCGATATTATGAAATTCTGGTCTGGTGAACAATGAGAAACTTAATATAAATGTTAGCTGTGATCATCAGTTAAAGTTAAACAGGGCTGAGCAGTTAAACAGTGTGATCATCTGGCAGATGAATCAAGGAACTCTCAGTGAAAAGCAATGCCTTCGGAAAACAATGAGACATGCTGTCAAGGAACCACGCCAATTTGTATTTAGAACAAGTCAGTGTTTGACAGTGCCAAATGAATAACACGCTGCGTTAAACGAAGCCCACATCTTCCACCCCACATTTGGTCACATCAAACGTGCCAAACCAATTTCTAATAGATAATTTGTACAGGAAGATAAGAGTTGTTGGATTCTGCCCTCCTCTAAACCAGCATTTCTCCATTGTGGTCGACGAGTACCACTGCCTTGGGCGTTTGGACTTAGAATTTTCACTACTTTGAACACACCTGATTTGAATCAGCTTGCTGAATTCATTAATAAAATATATTACATTGATATAATATTTAAAAGAAATAAGAAACTAAAAGACACCTAAAGACATTGTGGTCATGTAATATAAGAATCAGGCTAATTAAATGTATTACTTTTAGTAATGTACAACCCCATTTCCAAAAAAGTTGTGCAAAAATGTAAATAAAAACAAAATGCAATGATGTGCACATCATTTAAACCCTATATTTATTGAAAGTAGTACAAAGACAACATATCAAATGTTGAAACTGAGAAATTGTATTGTTTTTCGAAAAATAGATGCACATTTTGGATTTGATGCCAGCAAAACATTCCAAAAAAGTTGGGACAGGGGAAACAAAAGACTGGTAAAGTTGTGTAACGCTTAAAAAAAAACACCTGGTGGTTGATTATGATTCTTACCATCAAATTCAAAATGGGCATATTTAAAAGATCAGTTTTAGCATTTGATTTGTTGTCTTTGTACTATTTTCAAATAAATATAGGCTTTAAATGATTTGCACATTATTACATTTTGTTTACATTTACCTTTTGCACACCGACCCAACTTTTTTGGAAATGGAGTTATATGGGACAGACCTAATCTGGGCCTATTTGTCAATTATCCACTAATGTTTCAATATTTCTGCATAATTCAATTGTTGTGCAGCAAGCAAAATCATTCAAAGTGGTGTAATGTGAATGCTGCTACAAAAAAACAGCATAGGTCACCAGCAAAACCAGTATATGTTGTGTTTTGGATGCTGGTACGCTGGTCAGCAGCAATGGAAGCTGGTATGCTGCTCACCCACCAAACCAGCATATCGCTGTTTTTGGAAGAAAACCTTGTATCTCCAGAATGGTAACTTTACAGGAGAAGAATTTACTTTTAATGTAAGTCAATGGAACCAGACTTTTTGTCCAAGGCATATTGGGTCATTTCTTTCAGTCCATTCTTCATGAAATGTATACACAATGCAAAGAGCAACAGGTATTTTTAAATTATGTCAAAAACTGAAAAACAAAAATGGAGATACAAGGTTTTCATCCAGTATAAACCTGGATGAACCAACTTATACCAGATTGGAATTCATTCTGGTCTACACTGGAAAATGGTTAATCATAGAGAAGCTTACTGACTCAAATTTCTTTACAATGGCGCTGGGTTTCGCAATGTTAGCAGTGCAAATAGCCATTTTATTTACCATCCAAAACAACCAGTGAACCTACACTAGTCTTCTAATGTTGATAATGGCTAAACAGTGTTAAATCTGAAAAAATAAGTTTTCTTTGGGGACTATTTTGCCTTCCAGCACTCTGCATGCACCTCTCTGCCATGTTCGGATTTTAAAAATAAATCTTAGGCCTTAAAACTTACCATGGCATGTAATTTTACTTTTACTTGCTTTTACAGACATTAAACTTTTGCAAACAGTTTTCCATAGGATAGCGCTCCCATCATACTTCTCCTAATGACTTTGCTCACATCCTAACATTTAAATTATGCAGAAATGTTTAAAAAATGATAGAATTACCCTCTAATTCTGTTATAAGAAATGCTAACAGGTTCAATCTGCAGAGGAGTATTGTTCACAAGAATGTAATTGTCATGAAGTTAGCACCACTGCAAGGTCGCAGCTGCTCAGTGAGGCTCTACCACAGTTACAAAATCAGAAAAAAGGTGTTTTGCAGTTTTAAAGCAGAGTAAAATCCCCAGTGTTTAATTGAATTCACTCTTACGGTGTTCACTGTGGGACAAACACGAACACTGTAGGTGTTAATTTAACACTGGAGATTTGGCTGTGACAGTATAAGGAACTGTTTCCAGCTCAGTAATGAATGCATGGGTGTATGTATGTATACATATATGTATATATATATATACATACATACATGTGTATGTATGTATGTATGTATATATATATATATATATATATATATATATATATATATACACATACATATATACATCATCTAAACCGCTTATCCTTCTGGGTTGCAGTGGGGTCCTGGAGCCTATCCCAGCAGTCATTGGGCGGAAGGCGCCAGTCCATCGCAGGGCATATATATATATATACATATATATATATAGATATATGTATGTATATATATATATATATATATATATACACACAGGACCCCCATGGACCCTCACAGAGCAGGTACTATTTGGGTGGTGGATCATTCTCAGCACTGCAGTAACACTGACGTGGTGGTGGTGGTGTGTTAGTCTGTGTTGCGCTGGTCTGAGTGGATCAGACACAGCAGTGCTGCTGGAGTTTTTAAACACCTCGGTGTCCCTGCTGGTCTGAGAATAGTCCACCAACCAACAATATCCAGCCAACAGCGTCCTGTGACCACTGATGAAGGACTAGTGCAGCAACTGTGCAGCAGCAGATGAGCTATCGTCTCTGACTTTACATCTACAAGGTGGACTGACAAGGTAGGAGTGTCTAATAGAGTGGACAGGGGGTGGACACAGTGTTTAAAAACTCCAGCAGCACTGCTGTATCTGATCCACTCAGACCAGCGCAACACACAGTAACACACCACCACCACGTCAGTGTCACTGCAGTGCTGAGAATGATCCACCTCCCAAATAGTACCTGCTCTGTGAGGGTCCATGGGGGTCCTGACCACTGAAGAACAGGGTAAAAGGGGGCTAACAAAGTATGCAGAGAAACAGATGGACTACAGTCTGTAACTGTATATATACAGTTACAGACTATATATATATATATATATATATATATATATATATGTCTGTACGTGTGTGTGTGTGTGTGTGTGTGTGGCTTTAACGCAAAGCCTGAGAGCTCGTTACGCTCAACGCCATTGGCTCGCGCCTAATTCGTTGGGCTCATTCTCCAGCCTCGCAAGCTCGTGCGCTCAGTCTCCTCAGAGCTGCCTTCACCAGCAGCGCGTCGAGCTCTCTCGTCAAGTTTCGAGGACTATCATGGATTAAAAGTGTGGAGAGGAAAAAATAACACACTCACAGGACGTGAGGGCGTGTGTGGAAGGGCTGGGGAGAAAATGTGTGAACTCCGAGGACAAACGTGAAGGAGGAGGCTGGAAACTGTGGCCAAGTCCTTCAGGCGAGGCAAGTGTGGTATTCCCTTAGTTTCAGGAAACGACATCAGCTACATAACGTGGGGAGGAATGATTAGCGGCGCTTTTATGGTCGTTTAGTTTGAAGAACCATTGGGGTAAGGAGCAGCTGGTGAAGGGATATTCTAAAACGCTGGTGGGAACATTGAATTTCACAAGAATTACCAAAAATAGTTGACTTTTTTGATCACAGGTTCATCCTTTCAGCAGTAGAGATGCTTAGTAAGTGAGGTTTGGTGTTTCTAGGTTGTTGTTGTTGCTGTTTTAGTGCATTAAACCACGCTAATCTTTTTCACGTTAAGCTTTTTTCGAAAGAACGTCCTGGAAAAAAGTGGTGGTAGATGGTTTATTGGAGTAGTTTGGCTGTGGAGAATAAGTTTGGAGGACCATTTTGGTCACCAGTTAGCAAATCCAGTTACAAATTGTTTAAAAGGGGTGAAATTGGGTTGTGCTTTCACATGACTGTCTGTCTATCTGGCGTGTTAACAACCAAGTGTTAGCATTTTTTCTCGGGAGAAAACCTTGTTTTTCAGTTTTTGACATAATTTGAAAATGCCTGTCGCCCTTTACATTGTGTGTAAATTTCATGATGAATGGACCAAAAGAAATGACCCAAAATGACTTGGAAAAAAGTCTGGTTCCATTGACTTACATTAAAAGTAAAGTATGTTTTTTCCTTCTCCTGTAAAGTTACCATTTTGGAGATACGAGGTTTTCCTCTGACAACAGCGAATTGTTAGCTGGGGTTTTTAAAGCCTGCTTTATTCCCCTCAGAGCAGAAACACTGTTGGGAAGACATTGCTTTAATTGTCGAGAGATTTGCGTAGCTACATGTACATGGGCATGTCTGTCTGACGTTGAGCATTTGGTGTGAGTTACATTCATCAGTTCTGCTTCATTTAAAGCATGGCATGAACTCATTTGCTGTCAGTAAACATCAAGCAGATGGATTTATCTCAATCTCAGCATCTGTCAAGGCTCCCGCTTCTCCCAGAGTTACAGTATCTGATCAGATCTTCCCCATCATCACGCTGTAATCTCACACACATGCTGTTGGATATGATATAAAGACTAACAAAGTCAGTACGTAGACTCAAATCACTGCTGTCGGAAGAAAACCTCGTATCTCCAATTTTGTCGTTTTTTAGTTTTTGACATAATTTGAAAATGTCTATGGCTCTGTACATTGTGTAGAAATTTCATGATGAATGGTCCAAAGAAAACGGCCCAAAATTACTTCAAAAAAAAGTCTAGTTCCATTGACTTCCATTAAAAGTAAAGTATGTTTTTTCTTTCTCCTGTGAAGTTACCATTTTGGAGATACGAGGTTTTCTTCTGACAGCAGTGATATACTTCTAAAAGTCATACTTATGTCTTCCCAGTATAACAATGCACACAAAAGCATGACAAGACTAATACATATTAAAAAGGCAATGAAAATTAGACATAGCAGAAAAGCAGTGAACATAAATTGAACGTAATCTGTGATTTAATATTAAGTCTTGATGTTTTTATCACTGTCTGGTTGTGTTCACAGTTTTTAGGTGTCTATATTTTGAAAGAATTAAACGGTTTTCCTGGTGATGTTTTTGTTCTCTTTGTTAACCTCTTAAAATCCCAGGCTTATTACATACTAACGCTTATTTTTCAGTAACTACAGGGTCATTCATGCAAACTGCTTGAGCTACACTCTTAAAAAATGACAGTTCTTCAAGCGTTCTTTAGCAAAGAAAATGGTTCTATATAGAACTATGAGCACTCAAAAACCATTTGCGTGATTAAGTGGCTCTCTGCATGGCTATATGGCTCTTCAGATTGATGGAGAATGTCTTGTATGTGGTTCTAGAAAGCCACCAAAAAGGGTCCTTCTTTTGTGACAAGCTTGACATTGTCACAATAGCAAAACCCTTTGCGGTGCTAATAGAACCCTTTTTCAAAAACCATCTACAGCACATTCTCCATCAATCTGAAGAACCATTTCACCATGCAGAGACCCAAATAATCATGCAAATGGTTCTTTGAGTGTTCATGGTTCTATACAGAACGGTTTTCTTTGCTAAAGAACCCTTGAAGACCTAAGCATTTTAAGTGTGTTTTCTTATAGAAGCGTGAAATAAAACTTTGGGCCCTGGCCATTTAAGGGGTTAATCTGTCACTAGGCCCTTTGCAAATTCTTGGCAAACTCAAGCCTGAGTTTTCATCTTGATCTTGTACTTGAACCAACACTCATGCTTAGAATTAAAGCCTTCCAACTGCATCTACATTGTTGGAGTCTTATGCACTCAATCAATCATGAATTCACACTCACTCTCTCTCGACAATAGGCTTGATTTACTTTTTTATAGGGTTCTCATCCATTCTTAGTGTGCTGCACACTCATAATTAAGCAGACAAATGAAAAAAAAAAAAAAAAGGAAAAGTTATAGTAATGCCAGCCGTGCAATCACGAGCAGACAATTTCTTTGATTCTATTCAAGAAACATGCAGCTCTGTTACCCCACAATAGTAACCGAAGCACTCTGAATGGACTTCAGGCACAATCAGGGTTTCTTTGGAAACGGAAATGAGAATTGTACATCTTTTCAGGTGGACGTTGTATTAAGAAGCACTATGCGGAGAAATAAGGAGAAATTCCAAACTAATGCAGTCCTCCTTCAGCCACAGTCAGCGAGCTGTGCAGAGAGGAATGGCAGTTTTTGCTGCACTCTGCTGGCTTGTGTGAGAAAAAAAAAATGCTTTTGAATGATTTTCACACAGCATCATTAGGAAGCCCGCAGTACTGTAGATCCACATGCTCCCATCCTGAAGCAAGAGGGAGGGTTTGAGAGGAGGGATAAAGTGGGGTCCTCTTTGACATATTAAGGTTTATTCCTCCCTTGCCGGCACATGAGTCACTGGGAGTTTATTTACAGAGGGCCCACGCTGGGGCCTTGCGGCACACCAAAGCTGATGTGTTATGTCATGCCTCCTGGAATCGCGCTTAGATCTAAACACCATTAGCTGTATTGCAGCACTGCTTAGGGCTGATCTGAGAGATGATATAAGGTATAATTAATGCACGCTAGTCATTAAAACAGGGAGTGAATTATATTGCTGTGTTTCACTCCTGTGAGAAATGCCCAGGCAGGTGAAAGTTAAGTACAAAGGGAGTCCTTTCAGGGGATGTGTTCTGGATTAAGTTGAATCTTTTTGGATGAATCATGTAGTCTTGCTTTCTTGGCTCATTCAGTTGTTCTAGTCGTTAATTTTGTAGGGGCAGATTTTATTTATTCAGTGCCAGTGCCAGTAAAAGATATTTAATAGGGATGCAGTGATATGGGAATTCTGGGACAATGCCTGGTATCTTTCATGTACAAATCTGCTGATGCTGATGCATAAACATTTATAAAATGTAGAAAGTAGGACTTCATCTACCTGGATTAACATTACAGAGAAATATAGTGTATATTTGTAGAGACTTACAAATACAGTAAGGTGAATAAAATGCAGACATTTTAGCACGTTCGAGCAAGTTCTGATCTTCTGTAGTACAATAAATACATTATCAGATATTAATTTGAATTATAATATGGATAGTTTCGGTCCTGAAATCTGATTGGCTGAGCCGCGTTCAAAGCCGTTGTAAAATCCACGATATACCACGGCTCTGACCGCCTCACAGCGACTGAACTCTGTATCACTGCGCCACAGCACGAAAAACCCTTCTGCTGATAATGGATTAATCTTTGACTCTAATTCTGATCGCACGGAGCACCGAGTGTACTGATGAAGTAAGAACCCGTTTTTGTTTAAACTGAGGAGCTGAAAACTTATCTTATTAACTAGAACCAGGCTGGTCAGCTAGCTAACAAGCTAAAAGATGGCAAACATGCTAAACAACTATTAAAGCACTCACGATATGATTCACTGAAAAACAGTAATGTAAAAGTCTAAATAATGTCACCTGAATGTGTTACACGCTTTAAATGTCCGTGTTTGTCAGAAGTAGCATCAAACCAAAACTGAATCGCAAACGGCTCCGTACTCCCTAGATAAATAGTGAACTGTATAACATTAAGTTTAGAAATTCTAGCTTCTGCTGTCAAATAGTGCATCATTTATCAAGTTTGAATGAGGATGAATCTCAAATCACCATTTTTTAGCGATATTTTTCTCTGTTGTTCTGCAGGAGTCAGTATTTAAATTCCTGCGTAGTGCACTATGTAGGGAGCAGGGAGCTGTTTGAGATTCTGCCCCAGTGTGAGAAAAGTGGCATCGTCAGACTAGCAGAGGACTCGTGGTGGTGATTTGGTGACCAAAAAGTACTTATAAACTGAAAGCTTTTGCATTAAACTGTTATCATATGTTCACTGTTATATGAAAAATTATTATAAAAAATTATTAAATGTCTGCAGTGACTGGCGACTGAACGTTCTTCTCCTCATTCCGCGGTCAATAGTTCCTTAGCAACAATACCGTACTCTAAACGAACTACATTTCTTGGAATACTTGTTTATGTTGGTTATTATTAATAATAAGTAATTATGTAATTTATAATTATCTACTGATACCGATAGAACTCTGTCATTGTGCACCCCAAGTATTTAAGTATTGCTGGGCTATATTGCTTTATTTAAGATTCTGGTTTTCCAAATACATCATGGTATCATGATGTTTGATGATATTCAAGGTATCATGAAAAGCTAATGATGTTTCATCATACTGGTACCTTATTCTAAAAGAATGTTTTATAAACAATTTAACTGTGTTTTCTTCTCCGAACGACTCCAAACAGGAACCTGACACAATATTCCACTTTTTCTTTAGTTGTTAGCTTTAGAAAACTGCTTATTTAGAATTTTAATATATTTTGTATTTTATATGTTTATTTTTAGCTGTTCATTCAAAACAATGCACAGCAAATGACTTGCATTGCTGTTAACTGTAAGGTCCTGGATAGCATGAGTAAAGTGCACAAGATAGAAAACAGCTAACAATAAACTGTTAGGCAAC